CTTTATTCTTATTAAATGTTTTAAAAAAAAATGGAACGTAAAAAACCCTCCCAAATATTAATGAATCATAGTCTTTTTTGTTTTAAATTTTAATAAACGAGGTTTGATGATAAACTGCCCCCAAAAATTACAACAAACATGCTGCAATAGTAAAAAATTACCTATGAATACTTGTATACTAAGTCACTACCCGGAGGCCCCGCAAACTACCAATTTTGGTGCGTATTTTTACCATACTGGTCCAGCATTCCTCAATCCGCATCTATAGTTTTTTTTTCTTATTACTAAATTATAAAGTAGTAGGAGGTTACAGCGGGATTCCGCTCTTAAAGAATGCGGACAGTACAGACATTTATATCCTATGGTAATGATTTGGGTGAGTAGTCATTAAGGAATGTTCCCATGCTCAAGAATTCCTTCGATCTTTTTAGTGGAGTAGTATGTGTACCATCACTGAACTATAAGATTTATCTTTTATGAATGAATTTTAATTCTGTAAAAATCTTTTAGTAGTCAATCTGTGAACAATTTCTAAAAAAAGTAATCCTACTTCATGTAGATTATAATTAAGTATTTATAATTATAAGGTACATAATTGGGTTTAAAAAATGTAAATGATTATGTTAAGAAAATATATTATCCTTTGATTTTTTTATTACTATTATTGCAAAATATTACCTATAACCTTACAAAATTTATAAGGAAATACAAATTGTGAAAAATACACAAAAACTTTTGTTTGGCATAATTTTATGATGCAAGTTAACCACAAAACGGCGTGTTTCTGGAACTGAAATTTAAAATAAATAGCACTAGATTTTGTACTCGCTCCTCTTAAAATTAGCATTTAAAAATAACCAAGGTGAGGGATTGACACTAAAATAAAATTGAACCGGCATTTTGCAGCTGCGCTGACGGCAAACGATTTATATCGGTGTTTTCGATTGATAGAGCCTAAATTCACCTTTTAATTAAATCGAGGATGTTTAACCCTCACCTACGGCAGGCGCCAGAAATAAAAGGCGCCAGCAAGCTTGCAGGACAAAACCGCAAACTTCCTGCCCGAGCGAAATATGTATGTTTATTGTTAGATTGCAGTACCGGGAGGCGTCAGCTATTTTCTGGAAATTAATTAATAGCGGTAATTGTAATTGTAATCTAACAATCTTAATATCATTTTATTTTTCGGTAAATGTCATACTTGTAAAGGTCTTACTGTTAATAAGTTTTTCCAGACAAAATATGCCCACTTTCATCAGGATTTCTCAAATATACGATTTAATTAAAATACAAAATATAAATTATAATTTAAATTTTTAAATTTATTTATTTATTTATTTTTAATCCAACATAATAAAAAATCAATTTTTTATAAAAAAATACTAGATACACCCACTTACTATTTTTATTTATTACAATATTATGTTGTTTTTTCTTCTTATTGCATTTCTTGGTAAAACGAATAAAAACGTTTTATTATGCATATGTTGTGAAAGCTCCTGTTAATTGGAAAATCCTATATAAAAATCGTGCAAAAAGTAATTTGTAATTATTAAGAATTTTATATGAATTTTTTTCAAAATAAGTATATGTTGTTAGTGCCATAATAATACTATCTCCTTCAACGAAATTATACCCATATCGGACCCTGTATTGATAATTATATATTTAAGTTTTCTGGTGATTGATTATTCAACATACTATTCAGAAGGTGCTAAAGATTTTTTTGAAATTGTTTTTAGGATTTGTGCAGCTCCCTCGTAAGATAAACTATTTGAGTAGATATGCCGAACGATCTAGCTTTGGCGCGTCAATTTATTTTAGAAAATATTCCAGGAATTACTTTCAAATTTTGATTCATATACATATATACTAATAGCTTAATGTTGCGGACAAAAATCTAATAACTTGTCTTGTGATATTAGTCAGAAGATGATAAATATATCATTAAGAACTAATTTTACTATTTGAATGTATTTTATATTAAGCATCAAAGGTAAAATTTTATTTATTATTAGGATATTAAAATATTTATATGTTTAAATTGAAGCTAAAAAAGTTATGATAGGTAGATTTTTTTTTTAGTATTGTGTAATAAAATTAATATTTTTCACAAAAACTTCATCTGCAATAAATTAATATAAAGAATAATTATATTTTATAAAATTGTCTATATCCTCTCACAATAATGCATTTTTGAAGTATAAAAACTAGAAAATGAATTTGAAAATTTCATTTCTATTAAAAATAAGTATTTATGAGAAATAGGTAAAATCACACTATTTTAGGTGGTAAAATTTAAAAATTGGGTTCATTTTTTTTAAATTGAAATTTAGGTAAAATAGGTAAAATAAAATCAGGCAAATGAAATCTTTTTTTCAAAACGGATTTTATTCCTTTGCACCTAAAGTTATGATTAGCGTAGACAAATAGGTAATAAAACTAAAATCCCATCTCCAATCATGATCCTTAATTAAAAAGGAATAAATAAAATACAAAAACTAAACCCCCCCATGGGAAAATCCTAGATGGATTATTTATATTGGCTCAATTTTTTACAATTCAAGCAAATATTATAACCTTGTCAAAACTTAAATTAGTTTAATTTCTAAGAATTTATTAATTTCCGATTCACATTGCACCGTACATTTGGTATATAAAATTCTACAAAGTAAAAAATAAAATCTTAAAAATAAAAAAAAATAAAAAATTTTGTTAAAAATAAAATCCCAAGATCGTATACATAACATCTTTTGCGAAATGACATACAATATTTTATCTTTAAGGCACAATTTTATTTGTTAAATTATACATAAAACGTATAATTATAATAATAATTATTAAAAGTAGGAAGTGAAACTGGATCTGTCAGTAGTAGAATTTTTGTATTGGTGAAGTAGTAAATAAATGAATTTTTACGGTCTAGGCCATAAATAACCTAACACGATCATGTTTAAGTGCCTAGGTCATAATTAATCACTTTATTACCTAACAATAAAGTTTATATTATAGACCGATTGAAAATAAAATAATTTGCTATTTTAAAAAGTAAAATTATAAGTGAAAATTGCAAATATTCACCACGTAAGGCACCTTTGATCTTGACAAAGAATAATAATAATAAACCTCTTTATAATGATGATATGATCAGATTTAAGCCACCAAAGAAGTGTTGCATAAAACGCGGTACCCACAAAGACAGATTAATCGTAGCGGGCCACCCATCTCCTTGATAATAATTTATGGACCCTAACTAGTGTTGTTGTGCCGCCTATGAAAATCATTTGAATTTACAATACCCCTGCAATTGTCAACTGAAATTCACAGAATCCCAATCCGCTTTTAGATTTTATAGGTTTTATTTATGTTTATTGACTTCGATTATCAACTTTTCGACAGCGGTAAATGGCTTGAAATATCTTAATTCTGCCACCTAAGTTGCGAATGTGATGTTTGCCGCAAATATTTAAATTTGTATCCTTTTTAGTTTTAAGTGGACATAAGGTAATGTAATGGAATTTCCATTAAGTAGAACTAATTGGCACGTAATTTAAATTCCTTCAATATTGACAATTTTGATGTAAGCTAAATTTCTTATTAATAATAGTAAATTGTATAATTGAGAATATTTTCTTATTTTAATATGAAAATTTGAATTGTATATTTTCTTTGTAGGTACTAATTGATTTTTTTCTGTATGCACTGAAATAAATAAATAAATGATAAAGTATCTTTATGTAAACAAAACATTTTTAAATTTTGGCAAAAAATCAAAATACCTTCTCATAGAAATTGTCCAATTTTACTATGAATCATGTAATGTTTTATTACCTAAACAAACATTTTTTCTTGGAAAAAATATTTTGAATATTTGGCAGAATTTTAGTACTATTTTGTAAATAAATTCCTATATTTATTTATTGCAATAAGTACACTTATTTTTTATGAAAAGTAAATAAAAACCTCTTCTACAAAAATATTTGCAGTTTAAATTAAAATAATTATAATTTCAAACAGATAAATAACTTCTAAAATTAACAAGCATGTATCTAATTTGTAATTAAAATTATATTTAACAATAAACAAACATTGGTTACTTAAATATAGAGAAGATAAACTATAATTTTTATTTAAGGCATATTAGTCAAAAATATGATTACAAGCTCAAATATAAATAGAAAGGTCAATACGTAATTATTGACTTTAACAGTTCCTAGTATGGTTACTCATTTTAATCTGTCTCTCTGTTAGTGTCTCCTGCTTGCCGAGCATATATTCGTTATTATGTACAAATAATTAATAAATTAAAATAACGAGATACCAAATATAGAAAAATCCATGATCAATTAATTTATTTATGGATTTTTGGATACAACGTTATTTTTACATGTTTATCTAGGTAGGTATCAAGTTTGATAATTGGGCACTATCGAGCCTGCGAGCGAGTGTTTTATAAAATATCTTTTATCATAAAGGTAGAATTTGTTTAACATTTTTTTAAATAATATCCAAAAATAAAAATGTTCAAAATCTTCAAAAAAATAATTTCTTATAAATTGTTGTTGTTTAAAGTTTGTGAAGAAAAAAAAGGATATGCATCATGCAAGACAAACCGCAAGTAATTAATAACTATTTATAAATTTAAACAAACAATCCACTAATATATATTTGATGTTTTCGTGGAACTAAATTTGATCCAGTCTGCCTTTAAAATATAAAAAAATGCTATAAATTATCTTGTAATTTTGAATTGAAGTCCTTGATAAAAAGGTTTCTTTTTTGGTCGTTTGGTTATTTCGTCCAATAACAAACATGCCGCTTTTTTTCTTTTTTTTTAATAGGAGGAGTGTATTTTAGGGGGTCCGCTCCATTCACTAATAAGTAAATAGCACATGCTTGAGTATAGTCAGTTTAATTATAGAAGTTCGGGCTGCAACTCGCAAATTAAAGGAAAACGTGAATCATCTCATTGAGAAAACTGGAGTAAAATCTGGTATGCTAGGGATGTATCAAAAATAAACGTAAAGTGGGTTTTACCGAAGCTTCTTGGAATTACATGATTCAGTTGAGAACTGAACCATGATCGCCAAGTTTTGTGAATCAGTCAGCGATGGAGAGTCTTGCCGCGAGAACGAAATGATTTTTCATAAACTAGAACCGTCTGAATTGCTTAAACATCTGCTGAACGCTCGCGAGTCGGTGAGTCATATTAAGTCGCGGAAGTTCCGTTCGCCGGAATCGGAACCTCATAAATTAGACAGCGTTGAGTACGACACTCTATTCGCACCAGTTGCACCGCTGAGTTATAACCTCAAAAACCATGGAATTATGGACGAGGTCCTCTCGAACGAGACAATCGACTTTTTACTGTCCGAAGCCGAAAATAATTTGTACATCAACTCCCCATCCGCCGGAAGTGAGTCCTGCGACTTCACGGAACTTCAGCCCAGCACCAGTACCTCGGTTAAGGATATTTTTTCGAAGGCCTCGTGTTCAAAGGACGAAAATAAATTTCGTGTTTGTCCGACGGAAAGTGTGAAAGATTCAAGTGACAATGACGGCAACAATAGTGATAAAAACTGTGATAGTGATAAGGACCTGGATAGTGCCATGGTGTTAGTTCCTTCCGGTAAGAAAAAAATCTTTTTGAATGATTAAAAATTGCATAATTTTATAATTTATTTTTCCACTCATGTTTCCATGACACTAGGTGACATTTTAAATACTCATTGACAAATTATGGCTTTATAGCGCTTTAGTCACGTGAAGTTAGCAACAGGTTTTTAGTCACGGGCTGAAGTTAGTTTTAAGTTAGTTGACAGTTGTCAAATGTCATGCAATTGTTAAAATAAAGTGCCTTTCTTGTAAAATAATACTAAATGTGAAAATAATTTTTTTATCTCAATAATACAAAAGTATTAAATAGTTCGTCCTAGATTTAACTCATAAAGCCTTAAATAATAAATATTTAATTTAAATGTGATAATATTTTGCAATTATAGTAATAAAAAAAATCCAAGGATAAAATATTTTTTTAACAATCAAATTCTGACGTTATTTAAATATTTTAAAGTATCAGAATTGTTAAGTTTGATTAAAATAATAATTAATGTTAATGGTGAAATTTGCGTCAAAAATGTTTATTAGAATGGTTGCTTTATTTTCGTATAGATGTCGCTTCACACAAATATTTAATTTAAATCATTTTTTAAACTCTCTCATAATAAAATTAGATTCCTTGGTATTTACTTAGTTTTGTGCCTTGCCTTTTGAAAATTAATTAAGATCAATCGGGTAAAGTTTTTTACCTTCTACTCCGTAAAAAAATCCATTGGACCCATAAAAAATTCAGATCTACGTCGCGTCTACATTAAATTTTAATTTTTGGTATCAGCACACACATTTTTATATTCATTTTTAATTTCCCAGGGAAAGTTATGGAAATCACACATATGAACAATGATTAACATTCCATAATACTTGTCGATCAATTTTAAAATTATTAAATACTTTTTCACAATAATTTAATTTTAGGCCTGTTTTAAAAATAAGTTTCTTTGACTAAAGCCTAGGTTCTATTTTTGGATAATCTAAATTTCCCATGACAGAGAAAAGGTACTCATTATTCAAAAATATTTTCAGAATACAATGATTAATCTTGTTAAAAATGCGTCATTTAAATATCACAGGATTCCAAGTAGATGCATCTCATAAATTTAGCAGGAGAAAGCTTGCATAGGCGGTAAAAAACTGGGTTTAATTTTGAAGATAATTTTTGAAATTGTAGATAATACGAAATTATAGTTACTTAAATAAAATAAGTACGTGTTGTTACATTTTATTTATTTATTAATTATTTTATAATTTAGATATTAAGGTTGTAAAATAATTCCTAAAATAAAATGCAATTATTTTATTTAAAGCTGAAATTACAACTTATGTCAATTTTTTGGAGGAACTTGAAAGCTTTATTCTAGAATAAGGGTATAATCCAATATTATTATTTTTTAAAACCTTTAAAAGTTTTTTATCAATAATTGGTTCAAAAACATAAAATTCAAGAAAGATCGTTGGGGCATGTTTTGATAACAATAAAAAATACCTACTCTATAAAAATGAATTAGTCAAAAATGACTAATTACTACAGTTATTAGTGGCTGCTTTTTCACTTATACGATGGTTAACCATGGCATCCCCAAAATTTAATAGCCAATTATTATGTAAATTTTTCCCTGAATCCAAAAATACCTTAAAAAATTATGAAAGTACAGCAATTTTTGGATATAGTCAAGTCCATATTATATGGAAAATTGACTATATCTCAAAAATTGTTTTAGTTTTTTAACTTTTGACATTTTCGGATTCAGGGGACAATTTTACATGGAAATTGACTGCTAAATGTTCGGGATACAAAAATAATTGCAGATTTTTGAAAATTTTATTGTTAATTGAATTTATTTTTTACCATCCTCACAAATTTTTTGTAAATAGTTTACAAGAAATTAGTTTTTAAATTAAATGCTACAGATTTTTTTAATCATACATTGTGAAAAAATGTTGTGGTAACTTTCTACTACTTATAAGGAGTCATGATAATTAAAAATAAATATTAATTAATAATCTACTATAGTAGGCAAATTTCTACTCTATTATTAAAAATTACTTAATTGGGGTAGAAAAAGCATAGTATTACACTCGAGATAATTTTTCACCATGCTTTAAATAAAATTAAAATGTAACGACACCCATTTAATCCGCAAACACGTGTACAAATTTAAATCGCAGAAACATTTAGCCAATCTTCTTTTTTTGCACTTCTCAATAAAAGGCCTACTGCATCCGAATGTATGCAGGTAACCAAAAGCACCTTTTTCTCAGCGCCTACGATAAATGACTTCCTTCCAGAAACTGCTTCTTCCCGGTAACGCAAATTAATTCAGCCAGTTCTACATTTAATAACGCACTTTTAATCTTCTATCGGTTCCACAGAATAGGCCGAATAACATGTTAAATCTTTGCCGACATTGAATTCTTGTTAAAGCTGTCCATGTGAGTTTAATACCAAGAATGCGTTTTAACGAACCGTTTTATAAGTTTCGTTTTTTATAAACTACACAGTAAAAAATATTTGTTAATTTTTACCAAAAGGTTTTAATCATATATTATATCACGAGAACTATGAATTTAATCGGTTAAACTATAGCCTATAGGCTCAGTAGTTTTTTGTTTGGTTTTTGTTGGAAAATGTTGAATGCAAAATAATTTAATAAAATCACGAGACCGCGTAGCGGTCGAGGGGTTTTATTTTTAATTATTTTGCATGAAACTATTTTCCAAAAAGAAAAATCAAATAAAAAACTTACTGAGTTTGACAGATTAAATTTATAGGTTGAGTGATATACGTCTAGATTATTTCTCGAATTAAAGGAAACTATTTGACAATTAATAAAATCTGACGTATGTGTCAAAATTTATAAATATTTTTTTAAAGAAAATTCCATTAATTTAAGGTATGTAATAAGTAATAATTGATATTTCGTAAACTAGATAACTTATTTTTTATTGTTTTTTAAAAAATGTTTGTTAAAACTTGTAAATAACACCATAAAATCGTAAACAAAAGCCAATATGGATGCTAAAATTTAATCGCTGTTAAATAGTTCTAGTGATTTAATCGCTTATTTAATAGTTATTTATGTATTAAGGGCATAATAATGTTTTTATGGTCCGAGGCGCTATTTCGAGCCCGAGCGCGTTAGCGCGAGGGCTAGAAAAGCGTCGTAGGACCATAAAAACCAGTTATGCCAGCAATGCATACAAAACTTTATGCACGATTAATATATTATTATTTTTTATATATTATTGTTTTTAAAGACGTTTACGTCAAAGAATTTTTGTTATAATTGTCATATTATAATGTCAACTGACATCAGTCAGTTTTAAAGTTTAAAGATGAATGAAATTGAGGAAGCAGCTGAAAAGGCGAAAAATTGCGGCCTGCTGCCGGAAAAATCAAAATCTTTATACGAAAAAACTTACTTCGAATATATCAAATGGTGTAACATTGTTGTTTTTAATTTTTGACGTTTCATTATAGCCCGCTGGGTCATAATAACGCCCGCGGGCTATAAAAAGACGTTTACGTCAAAGAATTTTTGTTATAATTGTCATATTATAATGTCATCGTGCATAAACGAAATTTATTCGAAAATTCAAGGCTTTTGATTGGTTCATACTATAATGAGGGAAATAATCAACTATAATCACTTAACTAACTGAATAAGTAGTTTTTAATAATGATTATAATAAACATTTTGTAGATTTAATAACAAAATCCTATATCAATAATTCAACAAACCTTTTTGTAGACCCTTAGGTAAAGGGGCGTTAAATATAAGAAAAACCTATTATTAAATGCAAAAAGTACTTTTCTTGATTAAAAATAAGTACAATTCACATTTTTTAAATATATTTCACTTTTCAGATCCCAAAGAATGGACCAGCGATCACATAAAATCCTGGTTGACATGGAGTACAACGAAATTCTCGCTTGACCCGAAACCGAACCCTGAGGCATTCCCGTCCACAGGAGCCGAGCTCTGCGAGTTATCCTTAAGCGATTTCGAAAAAAGAACCGGTTCGGAACAAACAGGGAAAGTCCTGGCCAAATACATCGCCCATCTAAGGCACAGGATAACAGGACGAGCCAGTAGTCCCTTAAACGTGGAATGCAAAGTATTCGAGGACGATAGCGATAAAGATCAAGGTAAGGATGTTACTCTCTAAAAATGAAATAGTCAAAATTCTACTATTTGAATTAGTACCGTTTTCACTTTTAAATAGTTATTTTTTACTACGAAAATAGTTAAAGTTTGACTAATTTAAGATTATTCACCATCTTTGACAATTTCTGAGAGTTAAAAGTAACTAGTAATGACAGCCGAATGGGTTATGACAACAGCTTGACAAGCTTGACAAGTGACAGACCTAAGTTCAAACCCCGGCTGGGACAAAACTTTTTTTAAATTTATATCTACTAGTTTGACTATTTAATTTAGTGGAATTTGACTAATTTCTAGTGACTGCTTTTTCGCTATGACAATTAGTCAAATATGAATTAGTTATTTTTGATTAATAAGAGAGTGGATTTTTTTTAAGTTGGTAGAATTTTTATTACTGATATTAATTTTGACCAAATTTAAAAAAATGTTTTTCCAACTTTTTTTAACATTATAATATTACTATAATGTTACCAAACAATAATCTTGAGGTGATTAATAAAATATCATACATGTTAAATTGTGACTTTTTAAATTAAATAAAATTCATAATATAAAAATATTTAAAATTTATTTTTGGGACCTTCTGAATGACAAATTGTTGGGACTTGGAGAAAGGTTTATTAATGTTGTCACCCCTGATTAAATGACCTGACCGGGGGACCGACAGGAAGTTGATATTTTACCCCTGGGTGTTCGAAATCCTTTAATCTGGCAGAAAATCTTAAGCGGCAATAACGATCGTTTTTCAATCAGGGTGTCGACAAAACGATTTTATAATGGTATTATCTATTGAAAAAATATCCTTAAAGGATTTTATTGCTACACACGTTAGATTTTTTAGGAGTAACAAAAAAAATTTGGTCCTTTTTGGGTTTATAATTTTATATTAAGATTATAATTATAATTAAATTAAAATATATTTCGCTAATAATATCATGCTAATATAATATGAAAATATTTCAACTGTATCGTGGTAGATTTAGTTATTTTAACGTAATCGCCACTCATTTGGTTTTTGTCACTATAATTCTACTAGGGTATGTTATTCCCCCAATAAAATATCCAGGGATTCCCTGGTGTGGTTGATCTTCAGCCCATGTATTATTTAATTTAAAAGTTTCCATTTGTAGAAAAAATATTTTTTCTACATTTACTTTCCGAACTGTCGAGCGTGCGGAAAGTATAAACTTTCCGCACGCAAAAAGAACACAATAATATGTCTTAATAATATATTAATTTAAATTTTAAATAAAACAATAATTTTAAAAAAATGTATAGAGGTATAAATTCAGAAGTAAAGGTGATCCCGACCTGTATGCATTATGAACATTTATTTGGTGACGTGAGCGCACAATATCCTGTCGAGAGATAAGTTTTACGAGTTTAACCCGGGCCACGTCCTGACTACGGAGGCGGGAAACGGACTAAATCCCACTTGAAATTCAGGAGACGCTTCCCGATATAACGGCAATATATAAACCCGTTTCTTCCCGTCACCCCCGCCCACCATCTCCGGCTTCGGTTTCCTTCCTTCCTCCAACAACGGCGGCTTTCCGAAAAGTTTCCGCGTCTCCAGATAATGCCGCAATATTAATGATCATTTTATAACTTTGCTACAATACACTGTGTATCAAAATTAACTTTTAAAAACCAATGCACTACTTTATCAAAAAGTTAAAAAAAATACACTGCGGTATCAAGCATTTATAAGATGTCTTTAGAACATTAAATGAAGATATCTTTAAGACGTCTTTTTTAGATCTTTAGACGTTCAGGCATAATAAAGACATACAAAAGACATCTTCAAGACTTTGTGTGCTATCTGGGTAGAGTGTGATGCTTAATTAAGACGTATATATTTCTTTTCTTTTCTTTTTCTATTAATTTTAGATTTAAATTAGCTGTCTCAATTTATTATTTTTTTAATAAGAAATGTTTGGGACAAATGACAAATAGCATGCTGCAGAAAGCCGAAATTTTTGTTTTTGAAATATAGTCAATTTCATATTATATGGAAAATTGACTATATCTCAAAAAGTGTTCTATAGTATACTTTTATAACTTTTGACGACATTTTCGGATTCAGCGGACAATTTTACCTAGGAATTGACTACTAAATGTCCGAAATACAAATTTCTGTTGACGAGAATTATTAGTAGCTGTTTTTTCGCTATGACTAGTCATTTTTGACTAATTCATTTTTAGAGAGAAAAAGTTGTAAAATGCCGTAGGTCTTCTAGGGTTTTAAGCCCACCGTGTGTAACTTTGCTAAATTATCATATTTTCCCACCGCTTTTGATAAACACCCCGGACCGTGGTAATTGAATTATTATGCGTTTTGACACCCGTTGTCGGTAACAAGGACCCTACAATTGATCCACAACACGCGCCTCTTTATTTATAAATGAGATTTCTTAATGGTTAAAATCATAAAAGTAATTGTTTCTTTTTTTATCAAATGAAGCAAATTTTTTAAATAATTCTTCAAATATTTTTTAGATCGGTGCATATTTACATGCTGTCAATTTTTTGGAATATTGAGTACCTATATATACAATTTTATAGAACAAAAACGACATACAAATTTCCTTTATTCAATTGATTTGATTGTGTTTGTGTTCAAGATTTACGATCGATTAATTTAAATCATGTCGGAATCAGTATTCTGTTCGTAAGGTTTCTTGGTAACGGAAAGCCCACAACTTTTTAATTCTCCTTACAATAACCACCTTGCACATTCCGGGAACTGTTTATATTGAAGCCAACACAATAAACTATTTTAAGGAAGAAAAAATAAAGGGATCCACACGGTTTTCTGTCTGCACTGCCCACCCCAGGTTCACAGAAAAAGTCATAGTCATAAAGAAAATACTTGAGTCATATTTTTGACTATAATGAGATTTACATGAATTGATTTTTACAAAAATTATTAACGTAGTAAAAAATAACTATTTATAAATATAAAAGTGAAATCGACTATTTTATTAGTAAAAAATGCTGGTACTAATTCAAATAGTAGAATTTTGTAGTTATTTATCAGTAGTAGTAGTTGTTTAAGGCTTTATTTTGCTTAAATTAAATAAAAACGTATGAATATACGTCTCTTAGGACTAGGTATTATCAGGAATTTATTTAAATGGGAATAAATCCAATATAATACAATTGTAAATGTGATAATGAGTCATTATTAATGACTCCTTCCGAATGATTCAATTTATTTCTTTCACTACGCGTAATCGTTCTCATTTCCAATTCCAGTCATTTTCCGGCAAAACCGATTTACTCTTTCCTGGGGTCCTTATCTAAGCGCTTATCGCTGAATTGCTTAATACTTTCAAAGAGCCAAATAACGATATACACTAACGTATGGTCAATGTATGGCCTTTTTGTGCAAATTCCCTTATCGGAATTTGAAATTGATTTTATTTGATCAAACATTTAATTACACGGAGAGAAAAGTATAATTAATGCTGATTACCATAATTATAATACCCTTTACTATAATTTATATTAATATTTGGGACAACTATTTTGTATATTGCCAGATACTATGCATATTTAGTAATTTTTAAATATCCATGTATGTTAAACTTTAAGGTAAAATATTATTATTCTCAACCAATTTTGTTTTTAATTCTTATTATAATTAGATTTTTTCCATTACTAATAAGTATAGTAAATTTTAAAATATTATGTTGCCATTTTAAATATAAAATATTTTAAAATCGAATATTTTTATGTTAACAATTAAAAATTGTAACATATTTATTGTAATTTTTAATATAAAAAAATGTTATGAGAAAGAAGTGAACCTACACCTCGCCAAAGTTTTTTGTTTTGAGTGCGTTCCATCAACTTAAAATACCGACAGACAGGTGTTTTGACCTATATTGGGTATCATCAGTGTCGACACGACACTGTCGAGCAACTTATAGTAGTGGAACACACCCAAAACAAAGAAATACCTGGTTGGTAAGCCAACAGAGGCGAGATGTAAGAACATCACGTGATCCACACCGTCTAACGACGCGTCGCGACGTGGCCTTTGCCGCAATCGGTACATACTATGCAACCATTGAATTGAACCCACTTGCAAGTAGGTTCAATTCTTTCTTATAAGTATTACCAGTAATGGGTCAAGAAAGTTTATTGAAGAAACTAAGAAAATTGAATGTTTAAAATGTCATGAGTTACTATATTGTATATTATATTTAAATATATTGTTTATTTTCCTTAAACATAAAAGTATCTTTATTTTTACTATATTCTTTATTAATGAGTAATATATTATAATATTAAATGTATACCTTACATTTGATTAAATCATATAGCAAATATTACTATTTGTAGATAGTAAAATCAATTTACTAAAAAAAATTAAAATATATATTATACATTTATGATTTAGTAATATTGGTGTTGTAATCTTTACTAAAAATTGTATAATAAAAAATAGTATTTTGTATTACAATCTTAATATTGTATTGACGAATATATAATATTGTTACCCTAAAAATTTGTTAAAGTAAATTTTACTATATTTTTTTTACTATCTAAAATTTACTATACATTTCTCTCCGTGTAAATTATTTTTCTTTTGACATATTTGACTAATTGTCAGCGAATAAGCAGTCACTAATAATTAGTCAAATTATACAAAATAGCCCAATTAGTAGATTTAAATTTAAAAAAAGTGTTTGACCTAATTTGAAATCAAATATTTAAAAAGCAGCACGGTCTTAAAAGTCGTAGAAAAAGTTTAGTATGTAAAACTCGTTTATAAACTTTTCTAGACACTTATTTAATTAAGCACTCGCTCGCTCGCCTGGTATACATTTTCAATAGCTTTGTTTACTACAAAACGCGTTTAATCAAGACGCAAGCGGCCGCTAATCTTGGGCACTTTCCATGCAGATTCGCGCCGGTGTATCAGCACTCGGGAAACTTAATTATAGCGCAATAAATAACTGGGGAGCGGGCGCTA